CGGCTATTTGAAACGAAGACAACAAGTGACATTTTTTTCGAAAACAAGTTTCATACATGTTATATCTTTTATATGAAGTTACTTTTTTTCTAATTTTCGAAATGAAGGAATTAATTATATGAATATCACCCATACTATTCTAAGAATTTGTTTAAAATATAATTTGCATTGATTCTCTATCAAACTAAAATGTGGTGATTTGTCAATCACACGATACGTAGTAAAAAATTGATTTTGCAAGTTAACTTTAGAGCTTTATATTTTGGAGATCCGTTGATTAAATTGCCTACTTTGAAAAATTATAATAATATACTATATATTTGTCTGTAAAAAATCATATTTGTTTATTTCTCTATATTCTATTCGGAATAAGAACCGGCCTCGGCGGCTACCTGAAAACCGGGTTTTCAATTTTCATGTGGTTTTTAGGCCGGTTCTTATTCCGAATAGAACATAGTTAGGGTATAATTACTATTGTTTGTTACCGAAAAATATTGAAACAAAAAAAAAAAATTCACAATAATACACTAAATTGGTAATGTTGATCTAGTTCCATGTTCCTCTAGTTGCAATACAACCATCCATATCTATAATCGCATACCACTTGTATACCCTGTAGCCATGTTTTCAACTACATGTGTTACAATTTCTTTTTGTACCAATGTCTATGTGCACTACATAAGCATAATACATGATAAGATATTTTATATGTTCCTATAGGCTTCATGCAGCTTTACGGGAGTGAAAACGGGCATGACATTTTGAACTTTTTCTAATCCTAGAAATCCGCTCTCTGGGTATATTTGCATTTCTAAAATGTATTTTCCAAAAGTGGGCTAACGTAAAAACGCGTGCTTTCCTAACAACTAACGGCATTATTAATAGTATATTTTTAAAAACAATTGTAAGAGAATACCATGTACATATACCATATGTATATACATGTGTACTGGGTTGTAGCGTTGGCGTATTGGCTCGATTAGGTACACGCGTCTTGTACAATATATTTTGGCACGCCGGTATAAATAATAAACACGTCAGTGTGTATTTTTCTGGGCGGAATGGAATAATAATAATAAAAAAAAAAGGTGAAAAGCATAGTACACAATAATATAATGTAACGATAATGGTAATAATAAAAACTAAATGCGCACAAAACGCGCATTTTCGGTATGTATCGCGTGCAATGTGTCCATGTCGAATGCGGACCTCCTACAACGGTCTTAAGTTAAACCCTTAACGTCCGTGACCGGCCACAGGGTTACCAACAGCTGCGCCGGCGGCCACAAGACGCACGCGACCCCACGACTCGGAAATCCGCGGACACCGTGACGACCATCGACTGTAAGGCTTTTTTCTCGTGTATAGATTTTTTTTTTTTACCTGGACTCCTCATTGACGTTTAGCATATAACATATATATATATATATACAGTTAACACACACACCTACTTGCACGTGGTTTGTATTTTTAGTTGTCGTCGGGCACATATACTATTATACATACTGCGCAGAGCTATATATATATATATATATATAAATTATATCATATGAATGTATACAGCCTACCACAGTCGCGCGGCACCGGTAGTCTCAGACCTGTCGACAAAGTCCCAATTCGATTAATCATTTTGCCCCGTCGATCGACAAACTTGTAAACGTAATCTATGCGTGTTATACAATATAGAATAGGCTTGATAATATTGTACCGTTAATATAGGTCATATTTAATGAGTTAAATTCGCAATATTCCAGTTGCACGTTACACATTAAAAGAGACTATTGCACAGAAATCAAAATAAAAAGTGGCCAAAATTATATTTTATCAAAATTGTTTGTTGAGTATGTATTTAAAAAAAAAATAGGAGTTTTGGTTGTCTACTTTATCTAAAAAAAAAAACACTGCCAATAAAACTATTAAAATGTAGTATAGGTATTGCAATTGAAAATTCTGTAAAAATCAGTGCATAAATTAATTTATACAAATTAAATTAACTGTTGAAAATAAGGTATTTGTGTGTCTTAAAATATTAATTTTTAGACGTAATATATTATCTAATAAATACTTCCCTAATTTTATATTATTCAACAATTAGGCAAGTGCCTACCCTAAGACATATTATTTTGAAAAAAAAATACGTGATTGCATAATTCGTGTAAATTAATATATGCACTAATTTTACATACATTTAATTTATACCTATTTTAGAGTGTATTTAATTTGTCGTCGTTAATTCGTTAATTGACTTAATGTCAGTTAAGCTAATGCGTATTAGCATTTGGATACGCGCGCTACATTATATCAACTTAATTCGGTTTAAACTGCAATTTGTTTTGCCATTTCGAAATAGGTTTCTGATAAATTGTCATGGGCTTCGTTTTTTGAGAATTTCTTGTGTCATTAGTTTACTTTAATAGTCATTTTAATTGGATCACTTTTAGATATACCCACGTTGTCATCATAGTTAACTGACGTTTCGAACCCGTTTTTTATTGTCTGTACTAAGAGTTTAAAAAAAATTAAACACGAGAAAGTTTCCTTTCGTGTGCTTTATGCATAACGCAATAACTCTTGTTAAATTTTTAATGACTTAATAAAGGCGACCTTTTTTCAATCGTACAACGGTACATCATACGTTTATTAATATTCGCAATTAATATTAATATGAATCCAACGACCGTTATATTTCATTACGTCTGAACCTTATAGTGTGACCTTTGACTATAATTGGATTTTCCTCTTTCTCTTTTCACCTCCTTCGACATACTGCTTGTGCTTTAACCGTATCATGTAGGTATATAATAATTGTATTAAATACTATTTATTAACAAACTTTGGTCATACGTGCAGTCGCGTTGCATAACCCACACAATGTCGGTTGATAACATCATATTACTATTTCCCATATAAGACACTAACGAGCGATGGCGGGTCGAGCTTGAGAAAATTGCTCGGACGAATAATAATTATACAAACTATTATTTTTATATTGCCAACAGTTATGACATCGCAATCGTACATTATTATTATTATGTTACACACAATGATAGACATAAATAGTGTTGCACGTTATTCAAATTGAGTATTCAGAAGAGAATCATATTCGAATAAAATTATCATATTATCGTACAATAATTTACAATAATATATTTTATTATAATTTGTTTAAATAGTCTCGATTTACGACCCATTGCGGATTGGTCGGTGGGTCATCTGCCTATAATAATTATCATTAATCAACATTGTATACTATTATGTTTTATTAATTTACTTTATGGCCGTAACTCAAAAAATCAATTAAATAAGTGACAAAAATAAGTAGGAAAAATATCAAACAAGCGCGCATTTCTCTATAACTGTTTATTGAAAAACTTAAAAAAAAATATATTAGTTACATTTATCACCAACAAAAGCTCAGGTAATAGGTACAATATATTTTTGAAAATTATTACAAGATGTTTATTAACATTTATTGTTCCAAAATAAATTATTATAATTAATACGATTATCATTTTATTTATATACTTTAAATATAAAAAAAAATACTTATAAATGTATAATAACAGTAAAAAAAATGAACAACGTTTAAATTTACTTATAACAGGCTTATAAAGTCAATGTCGATGTTAAATTAGGTTATAAATGAGAAACTAACAATGACAGGTATATTAAACAAATAACGAAATACACGAACATTAGGTACCAATTAGATGGATTTATAATTTAATTTTGAACATATTGCAGCGCGTTTTGGTTTATATCAAAATCCATATTTTTTAAACATTTTTACTATTTTCATTGATAGTTTATTGTCGGGAAAATACTTGTTTATCTAGAGAAAATTAAAGACTTAATTACAGGGCCAACCAATTTATATTTGCGTGACTGTATATTTTTCGCCAAATCCTAACCACTATCTGTTATCATTTTATTGTTCAGACATTGATGTGAATTTATTTACTATATCCGGCGACTTTTTTCTGGTCCTACCCCTACACGTAAACCCCTCAACACTGTTATCTTGAATCCGATTTAATATTATTCATTTTTCTCCATTTTTCAAGTCCAAACCATCTCAACCTGTTCTCTCTGATTTTTATATTAGGTATATCCACTACATTATAGTATATAGTTTAATTGAAAAATTGACCTAGTCGCAGGCCTGGATATGTGTACCCCGTGCTCTCGGTACGCTTTAAATGATTGTTGTTGGCAGAATTCGACTAGGTTTTTTTAATTTTTTTTTTTTTACGATTCTACCCGACGTCGTCACGGATAGGTTCGCGGTGCCGTCGAGACGAATTTCCATAACGAACACGGGCTTGTGTGTAGGTACGCTTGTATAAGAACAATGATATAATGCCTAGCAAAGCGCTCGCGGGTATTCTCTTTGAACTCTACAAACAAAATTTTTCAAAAAAAAACCATTAGAAATGCTAAAACCCGGTGCGGCGACAAGAGTGATTATTGAATATTTTATTTTACCCAAAACCGATAACGTCATGTCGAGAGTCACGGGTAAACTGGAGAGGGACAGGTGCCGCGAAGGGGAGTGTAGAGTGCACGTGGGAAGTGGGGGGGAAGCGGAGAAGTGGGAGAAAATAACCACAAAAGGCACGTAATTGAATATTACACATCGTCGACGGCTTGAAGAGAACGCGCTCACGTATATATTCTATATGTTATTATTATTATTATTATTATTATTATAATACCTAATGCACGTTAAAAACAGGGCATTTGCTTTGTGCGTGTTGCCGCTGGTGAGTGATCGTGTCTGATGTAAGGGGACCACGTGGGTTGACACCCATTTCCAACCGGACGACCAATAGCCGTCATGAGCCTTTTGGCGCGAGGGGTTTCCGAAGGTGCCCCTGCGAAAAAAAAAATATGGCCGTTTCCATACACAACGCGATTATAATAACGCGCATATGTATTTGTTATATTATATATATTACCTACTACTACTATACCGTTTACTACTCTGTGTGCTTGCGTGTGCTTGTTTGCGAGTGTGTGCGGTGTCCTAATGATGCCGAACAGGACGGTATTTTTCTCAGGTTTCGCTGTTATCGGAAAACAGTAGCCGGACGACGCGCGCGCATGTGTATTCTGCGGTTATACCTGCTAAAGTCTCTCAAGTCTCCACAACGGTCGCAATATTATGTATTTATGAAGTATTATCGCACGTGTACGAATGTTTGATTCGTCGGGTTTTTTAATTCGTTTAATCTTACGGTTTTGCTCGCGCCTGTGATAAAATCAACAACCGTCGTTTTATGTGCCCAAACACAATATAATAGTCATTATATTGACACCACCATGTACTCGGCGCACTATAACGGATTTACGTTTCAGGGTGAGTGATCGTTTGTGTCACCTTTTGTATCAACTTTTGTTATATTTAGTATTGTATTGTTTACGCGATATAGTTGGAGCGAACAAATTTGTTTAGTATGTGTTTTAATTTAGTCAACAATATTATACACGTTAACAAACTATATTTCTAAATAGTTATGTAGCGAGAATAAAATAATGACAATAGACACAACACGACGCTTTTCGACAACAGTATGAAATTACTAAATATTTGAGGATTTAGGAAAAAATGTGAAATGTATGCATAGAAAATTCAAATTCAAATAGAAAAAAAAAATTAGTATATACCGTTAATTGTTATTTATCCTAAAGCTGTATAGAAAAGCAAACAACGTCTGTTATATTTTAACAGACAATCTATTATATTTGTCTATTATATTTTATAAATCCCAAACTGTTGTCAATAATTTTTTTTATAATAATTTGAATAGTTTTTAAGAAGCCAAATGTATGTATCCAGGGTTAGACTGGCGTACCCACGCCAGCTGGAGCTTATTTTTACCGGCGATGTGGCCCAATAGATTCATTTTTAATTGGGCTTTCTGTACAGAGAAGCTATTAACTATACCGAGTGATTATTTTAATAACGCCCTACAACAGTTTTCTCTTAGTTTTTCTTTTTGAAAAAAATGGGTTTGTGCTGTACTAAAATATTAGTCAATATTTTAATTTGTATGTTTATTTTTAGTAGTATTCTATAGAGTTTTATCAACTTTTGAAACCAAAATGGTAACGTATTTGTAATATTAGGTTTTTAAATTAAGAATAATTTGCTGAAAATTTTGACTGGTTGATAATCAGTTTTGAATACATATTTTTAAAATTACTAAAATTTAAAATTTAGGGAAAGAAAAAGGGTTAAAGGTGGAGTTACTCAAATAACATTAAACATAATTTTTCAAAACTGGTTATCGACCAGTAAAAATGTCCAGTAAATTATTAAAAAAAGAAAACACTATAAAATTGAAATTATTTCAAGAGTAGGTAAACTATAGTGTAGGGCGTTAAAATAATCACACGATAACCTAATGCGGGAAGCAGTCCACCGGGATTTAACCGGTAATTTGACCCAGTGGCTAGTGCAACCCTGGCTTGATCAATTGACTACGAACCGGTTGTAACAATTTATAAATAATCGAATCTTTAAACAAAAAAAAAATTTGATAAAAGGTACACAAAGACCCACAATATAATCGTAGTAATATTACAGTTTGATTTATAAAATTCGATCAAAATAATTGTACTTGCATATTTTGCAATTTTATTTTTATTTTTGGGCATAAGTTCGATGTTAATTTTGAAATTCTAGTAATATTTATTCGACCTTTTGAATATAACTTCATTGGGCTTAATTTTGAACGTTTAACAATTTGTGTTATATCTTTGGGTCGCGTGAACGTCGATTAAGAGTTCAACGGATCTTTAAGTGGTTTATTAATCACTATCAACCTTTGACCCCCAAGTGCGGTCCATTAAATTCAAACGAGTCAATGTTTTATGCAACCCGCCGTTATAATATTGTACCGCTCTATAGGTAACGGTTGATTTGAACGGAACTTGCTTGTGGATGAGATGACAGATCTCATCTGCTGTTACATAGTCACGTGAACGGTTATTATATCGTTATAGTTTTGCGGTTAATCGCCCTCGAATACATACGATTGCAAATAGGCAATTGCGGCGATTTAATTGTTTTCGAATTGGAAATAATATTTAATTATGGCTTTCGCGTACACGTGAGAATCGGGTTGCCGGAAATCCGATTTGACATTACACCGGATATACAATAGTTACAAAACATATCGTTCTACTGTCTGTACTTAGGCCAAGGGCGTGTGAACCAGCTGGGTGGTACGTTCATCAACGGCCGTCCGCTTCCTAATGTGGTCCGATTGAAAATCGTCGAAATGGCAGCGGCGGGCGTCCGGCCCAGCAACATATCTCGACAGCTTAAAGTATCGCACGGATGCGTGTCCAAGATACTCAACAGATACCAAGAGACTGGAAGCATCCGGCCGGGCATAGTCAACAGCGACCACGCTCAAGTAAGTGTATACAATTATAATATCGAACTGGTTACACGTTAACAATGCAAGTGTGCGTAAGTACGGTATTCATTTGACACGAACCCGAGACTTTGGGTCACCACAATTTTAAAGAGCATTCCTACACAAATATAAATAAAAATATTAATTGAAACATTTATGTAAACAAGAGTCTCAAAACTATTTTTGTAATACAAAAAAATATTGTAATATAACTTAACTTAATATTTGCCTTTACCTTCAAATATTCATCAGGTATATACTTATTTAATTAATTTAATAAAATATTGTTAATTTATTTGATTTTTCAAGCTAAACAAACTATTATGACCTTTGAAATCAGCACATTATATGCGTCATGACGATATGTCTCAAGGAATGAATTAAAAAATGTTGGCTTATGTAATTTTTCATCTTTAATTAGAAATAACTTTAATACTTAGCCACAATGCTCGTTTTTAACTGACCGCATAAGAAAGATTGTTAATATTTTTAGTTTAAACATTTTAAATTTGCTGTTTTATTTGTAATTATGTGTATAGTTTAGTTTGTTTCCTTCAAATCGTTTAGTATCCCTCACATATCTGTATAATGTAATGTTTATAGTATGACAATAAACTGCATAATAATAATATACCCTACAGACGTTTCTGGCAAGTTTCCACAAATGTGGCACACTTTGAGGTTGGGCGAGTGACTTTAACGAACGCTATGGTGGTTTATAATATTTTCCTGTCTATATTATACGGCTTAAGTGTACTGTGTACACCCGAGCGTGGGCGTCATATACCTATAAAAGTGCATCGGGCGATGACGGTAAAAATCGAATAAAAAAAACACCATCTGTACTCTGTTACAGGCACGCGCCCATTACCATAAAAAATAATTATATACATGCACCTCGGTGCTCAGGATCTTAATATAATAACAATATCATAATATCTATATTATAATTACACGATTTGGCGAAATAGACAAAAAGCCGATTAAATGGGTCGGTTGGATGAAGACGTCGTCGCGGCCTGATAGCTCCAAGGGATTGTGCGGGGCACACCGTGTGTGTGGACTTAAATACTTGTCCTACACGGCTCATGAATATTTAATACAACTACACCTTTTCTCCGATCATAACGCTAATAAACACGAGATTCCTGATCAATCATTTTAGCTGTTGGCATTTCTGTTTTTTGTTTTTTTTTGTATTATATGTTCTTTAACAGACCCCCCACAACATGAACGGAGCCGGGCAGCACCGCCCGCGCGCTATTAATTAATGAACCCCGACGTGTTACACGGTGTACGACACATTCCACTATTGTACATTATCTTTTTTATTTTTTTCCTTTACACATCTGTTCGGCCTTATACCTGCCGGCGGTGTGCCGTACCAGACAACGCGGCTCCGTCGTGCGCGTGCATTATTACCCATTGTTTTTTTTTTATTTTTATGACAGACCGTAAAATAAAAAAAAAAATTAAAAAATACCTAAAAATCCCAATGTAATTTTTTGGCAACTCACCAGCCCAACAATCCGCTATACTGCTTCGAACGGTAGAGTATAAATAATGACCGTTATCGAAATGGACGTAGATATATTATACCGAATCCAGCGGCAATCGCATCACCGGCGTGGGAGGATAAGTTTTAATTTTTTTATTTTAAACGGAATCCGTTTTTATGTACGATTGAAATAACGTTATTTCAATGCAGTCCTATAGCGGTGGCGACAACAATAGGAAAGGGCGAGTGCCCGTCCAAAAACCCAGTGCCCTACCTAATTGGGTCCTTCTGTGTAGTGCCCAATATTAATCACTTTTGATCTTAAAAAAAATTGCAATAGGTACATCGAAAAATTAGCATTGATAATGTTATTTCGGATTAAGCAACGAAGACATGTTAAGTGGCATAAGTGGGTTTAATGCCTGATTTGATCAATTGTTATTAAATATGATGTAATACTGCCATTAGCAACTGCTTATTCATTTGATCTCATAGTTTGAAGCTTTATAAAATAGCATTTTAATCATAATTTTGGTTTGTTCAGCTCCTTGTGAACGCACCCTTTCCTGAATGTAGATGGTGAAGACTACTTAAGAATGTCTTTCTTATGATCATTTATCCAGTTTAAGAATAATTTGTATAAAGAAATCTAAAAAGTAAAAACCATAGGATTAAAGAACAAATTATTAATGTGTACCTAGTTCCCATTAAACAGGAAAATTACTTTAAAGTAGTTTATCTAAGTCAAAAGTGCCCTTTATGGTTATTTATACATTGTTTATATAAATTGAATTTTTTTTTTAATTTACCAATAGTTTTTTATTTTTTAAAAATAAAATTTTAATTAGTCCTAATGGTTTTTTTTTTGTACAATACAATATGATTTTCAGCTACAATTTCTCAGATTGTGTTCTATTAAATTGGAAAATAATCAATTTTAAAATAGGACCTTTGGATTTTTGCTTAAACTTTGGTCCTTCGACTGGGTTTTACTGGAATACTACAGGCCCTCGTCCTTGTTGTGCCCTACCGCCTTCAAAATTCTGTCACCGCCACTGTTCTATTGTATTGTTTCGGACAGTGTTGGTTATTTAAATTTGTAAATTATTAATCTTTTTTTTTTCAGAAAACGTGCCCTAAACGGTCACCGTATTGCTCCGAAGAGGTCAGAGACACAACGATTAGATCGGATCGTCACAGTAATTACTCGATCGACGGCATTCTAGCAGGTAAAATTAACATCAGTTCAACCTATATTGTAACATAGATGCACTAAAGGTTGCGTACAGTGTTCTGTGTTTAGCAACAAAAAAAAAAATAAATATATATAATAAATGTATATGGTCAGGCTTTGGTCTGACTTTAAATTCATCAGATTTTAAAATCAGACTTTCTATGAAATTGGCGTTTAAACAAATTTGATAAAATAATCGGTATAATATTTCAAACAAATTAATATAATTATATTCTCCCTTCGGCTTATGAAATATGAGTTGACATAAGCCGCCGACGATAATTTTATCGTTGCCTATTAATACATTTACATAACGTTAAACTACCGGGACTAAAGACATAAGTTTGACCTATTGCGCATTCATTAAAGATATACATAACGCTTTTGATGGATTATTATAGAGTAGAACAATATATTATAATATAGTAAACTGGTATCTCTAATACCAATGCACGAGCCTATGCGTAAAAAAGTATATAATCACACATTATTTACAGTAATATTCTATACAGTGATTTGTTTTGCAACTTAAGGTATCCCGCACGTTTCATTATTAAAAAATTTGAATGCCGAGTACACAAAATATATTGTAAAACTTCAAAGCAAAATTTTGATTAGGCATATGTTAGATATATTAGTTATTTTCAGATGAACACATACATTATTTTTGCATACATTAAAAATGTTCGTTGTGGAATATTAATATAGCGAAAATGAGTTGACGTTTCAAATAGTATATTATTTTAAATGTCAACTAATATTCGCTATGATTTATGCGATTACAAAAGTTATAAGAAAAAAAATTCCATAATATGTACGAAAATGTGGTGTGCTAAGTGGTAAATGTAGATAACATTTAATAAAATATTAATCTAGGAGGTTTGTGTATTCGTATTTATTTATTCATGAGTAAATACATATTTTACTTAAATTTAAATATGCTTTGTTTGGTCTATATATTTTATATAAGTTAATATAAAAACAATTCTTCTCACCAAAAAAAAAAACTAACCATAAACCATTTTACAAGTATTCATTCTGCAATTTTTTTATTTTCCCGAATCCAATTTCTAAATTTGGTATCTTTTGCTGTTTAATTAAAATGAAAATAAGTAATTGTTTAATTCGGAAAAATTAGGGGAATCAATTTATTGTCAATTTAAGATGTTGTTGGAGTGTGGTCTACATTATAGAAACCATCTATTAAAAAATAAAACGGTTGATATATTTAGGTACATATATATTTCTTTTAAGAGTAAAAATGTTAGTTAGCTACCAAAGTATAAGCCGTGGTTTAAGTGTCACTCTTTGTTAAACTTTGATTATATGTTATTTTTTATTTAAATGCCGGCCAACTTTGAATATCAAAGTTAAAAAAAATTAAGAAAGTCATCTTTTTAAAAAAAACCGACGTGAAACTCAAATCAGTTGTCAGATTCTTCAGCGCATCGTTAGTTCGATAGATACAGTGGAAATAGTGCAGGGCTTTTTTGGTCCAAAATGAAATACTTTCCCGTGAAAATTCAAAACTGTTTTTTAATGTTTGGGAAAATATTTCATCGGTGTTATTATTATTTGATTTTCCTGTCAAATAGGATTCTAAAGTAATGTTATCAACATAAATAAAATATGTACCTATACATTGTATACATCATATCAATCGATATAAAATATTACTATTTTTTAAAACATAATTATACGTTTTACTGTGTGAGGTATACCTACTATTCAAAATATCCTCTCGGCTTAAGCTAAAAAGTATCTAATTAACTGTACAAATGAGATCATTCAGCGTACGCGCAATAGATACATAAAGACGAGTTATGACGAAACTATAACGTTAATATATCGTTTATATTAGTAAGAAATATTTTTGCTACCTATACTATTTGTTCATCCGACTACCGGGCAGAAAAATTCCAGGTAACCAAACACACCTTTGCGCACCCGATATGCTGCAAGTCCATTAACGCGCACTTGTATGCGTAATGTATTATTTACAGACTGGGCGAAAAGGTATATTGTGTGTTTCTCGGTGGCTACCGACGAGGCGCTGAACCGTCGTCAACCGTTTAACTTGTTTTGGGTGTTAGAAACGAAATAAATAACAATGCCCAGGGTCGACGACGGGGCGCGGCTTAATTGACCGTTTCTGGGGTAGAGTCGGATATAATAATAATAATATATATATATATAGTGATGATAATACTGATAATAACAATAATAAAAATAATTCTGTTAAATACCATCGAGAAATTTTCATTAATCACACGTCCGCGAATCCATTATTTATTTTTATATTATATATTGCATCTTGGGTCCTGTTGCTCGTTGCGTGCCTCTATTGTCGTCGGGTATCTCAGCAGCGGCTACCGATGTGACCGAAACAGAAAAAAAAAAAACACTCCTAATGATCGATTTAACAGCATTAGTTTAGCTTCCGGAAACATCATTAGACCCCGGCGGCTATATAATATATCGGTGGCACATATTTCTCAGTTGTCCCACACACGGATCCCATTGAAAAACCCGTGTTTTCCTAATGCCCTGCTGTTAAAATATTGTGCTTACAACACATAATAATATTAATAATAATGTATCAAGCGAAAATGTGTCCATTTACGCGCTACACATCTTACACTTCGGTGTACGATTATTTTACGCCATTTTTCGACCATCTCAAGTAATAATTGATAGTTTCTTTTGACGTCCCAACGAGACACTCTATGTTGTATCTAGACCATTAAGTCCAGTTTCGATAATTCACATTTCACACCGACGGGTTAAAAGAAAATATTACACGTTTTTTTTTTATATATATAGGTGTATATAAAACACATTATAAATTGGCAAAAAAAATTTAAAATAAATATCGTCCATGTAATACGAGACAATCTTAAATTATATTGAATAGTTTGATTTATACACACAGAACATAAGACGTAAACAACATTATAAACTGTGCAGTTTATCTTTGTCGATGCGTCCAAATGATTATACTCTGTATTTACACCATCAGACAGATATTCCGTGTAAAACCAACACAACAATTTTCACTTATAATTTTACATTTCCACAAAACTTTATTATAAACATATCAAAACATTTGCACATTTTTGATACCTTAATTGTTATTTTTTGTATACCTAAAACAACAGTTTTAAATCTTTACATTAGGTAACAGAACAAGTCTTAACCGCTTTGAGACAATTTCTATCAAATATTAACCAATTATTAACTTAAACAAGTTAAATATTTTCAATTATTTAGAGTTGAAGACTCTTTATACATTTTTTTTATCTTCAAAACAGGAAAAAAAAATCATCGAATATAAGTGACAACCAAATATTTTATAATTGACCCTATCGAAAATCAAGTTAATTAAATTAAAATTGACATAGTAAGCTAAATTTTCAATCGATTTATTCAATAATGTCAAGTGAAAATACGGTTTTCACTCCCTTTTTTTTAGTGTATTTTTAAGTGCTGTCCTTAAACGGTTGCAGATATTTTTATTTTTAAAGTGTACTTTTAGTGTTATATCTGGAAATGTGATAATATCTTCACTGTAATTACATTTGAATGTATAAAAACTAAAAACTGAAATCAAAACGATAATAATTATTAACTATTCAAGTATATAGACAAACGAATGGTCATGACATGAACTGCCATTATGACCAAAGTAAATAGTTGTATAGAAACCAAACTTTTAGAAGGGCATAATGGTGAATGGAAACGTACCAATAGCAGCAGTCAATTTGTTGTCGTATTGTACATAATAGGTATGTACATGAATAATATGTGGGTCGTGATAGTAATATATGTTTTACTTTTTAACATTCACGAGCACAGCGCCGGTAATTAATTCCAATTATTACATATTTTCGACTTGCCTTGTAGTTATGACCGTAATACCTTGTGTATGTAAGCAATTATGTTTAAGGTTGGCGTTGAAATCATCAATTTTACCAATCCATCTGGTTTTCTTAGAATTTGTTTTTATTCTTATGGGTACACTATGGGTTTTGAAATGCGAAGACAGTTTTAGTAAAATTTTTAATAAATCATAAATCGTTTTTATGCACATACTTCTAAAGTTGTAGAAAATAAATAAGTAAATGTTTCATTTGTATAGAATAATGTTGTAAAATCAGTATTGATTACATTTTTTTTTACTAAAATTTGGCTTAATATACTATTGACAAGGTGATGTTTGAAATAATTATATATTTTATGTTATCTAGATAATATTTGTATTTAATACGTCCTATCGTTCTATTTAGATGCATATTTATTTAGCTATTCCTAACAATGCTGGTAAAACGGTTTTTTATTTGTCGGTTTGAAATCCGTTTGTTCGTATAAAAATATTAAAAAAGCGTCGCCATCGGCTGCCAGTTATAAACGGAATCGCATACTGTTTTTTTTTTTTATAACGCTTATGAGGTACAGCCTTTCTCGGTGAAAAAAATCTCGAATAATATTAGAACTTCGTGACCGCAACACTACTTGGGTATGCCGCCGGGCTTACGTACACTTTGTTTTATACATGTTTAAAAAGAAAAAAATAAGAAAAGAAATATCGTCTGTGTTTCGCGCGCGGTTAGTGCCGCAATATTTCAAAATGTATTTAACGCCGTCGTAAAAATTCGCGCGCCTTAACCTTTATTAGCTGGTGGGTGTCTATACTTGGGCGATGGTAAGAAAAAAACGTGTTTTTTTGCCCCCCCCCCCTCATTTCGATCACCGTCTTTATATTATAAATTTTATTTGTACAGAACGGCCGCAAACGGAAAGGCCGCCGCCGACGACAAATCGTCGTTAATTTTATTGTTTATCCGTTTCCGTCGGCCGTTTTATTCTCGACGTATTATGTATGTTTGTGGGGGAGGGCGACGGGGAGGGGAGGTTCACCTGTGTGCGCTCATTGTCCGGGGACGTATAGTTTAGGTACTGCGCCTATGTACGGTAGGTATAGTGCGACAACGCAAT